TAAATGAAACTAGAAACTCTGAAAAGCACAAATCATTATCAAATGTGTGATTAACATTGTTTCCTTTATGTTATTTGGTGGGTCCTGTTTCTCTTACTTTGATCTAATCTTGGTGTTATTGTAAATTTTTCTAAAATTCTACTTTAAATGTTTCTGGATATAATATGATTTTTAAATGCAGATAATTTGTTTTTATTTATCACTAGAATTTTTCTTTTTTAAACCAGGGATCGAACTTACAACCTTGTGCTTACCAGGCATGCGCCTGAGCCACTGAGGCCAGGATACCAGGATATGTTTTTAAAGACAACAAATAATGAGTTTAATAGTGGTGTAGATGAAGTTCAGAAAACTGCAGGGTACTTGGTACAATCTGAACTGTCATTCCCCTTCTTGTAACCTTGGTCTGTGAAGCAAGAATATCATTTGACCATTTTGCAGACTTTATAGTAATCAAAGTTAATATAAAGAGAATATTCTTAAAGTAACCAAAACGTAAGTATTATTAGTATCCCTTACCCTAGCTCCTCAATTTCCAGTGCATATTGTTTGAAGGTTATCCAGAAAGATTTTCTGAATTCTAACCTTGTTTTGCCATTTTATGTCACAATTTACTTAACCTTTCTTAGCCTTAGTTTCTTCATCTATAAAATAGACATAATGATAATATCTACTGCATAGGTTAGTTATGAGAGATAAGTGAATTAATACAGAAAAATACCATTAAGCCATGCTTGTATATGATAAATTCTTTGTAAATATGTTACTTTTATTATTGTGATAGACCTCATGCATATTCAACCCTAGGATGAACATTATGTATTAGAGGATACTTCATTATCTTAAGGAATTTGGCAGTAGTATTCATGTAACCTTTTTATAAGTGTTGAGTTCCTAGTCAAATGGCTCTACTGGTTCCTTTGGCTCAGAGAGATCCTGATAACATTTCTGAAATAAGTTGTAAGTTCAATTGGAATGAGACATAAGATCAAATGGAATACTTCAATGAGAAGAAAGACCTGAATTGAGCCTTCAAGATAGGATTTTGCAAAGCCTGCTGGGAAAACCTACTTTTCCCTCTTTTCTGCTCGCCAGGGACTAGCACTATACTATATACTACTTCACTCTCCATTCCTCCTTAAAACCTTGTCAAGTCACATAGCTATTTAGTTGCTGAATTAGAAGTTTTTTGTTTTCATGCTATATTTTTTGTTTGGTAATTACAGATTGTATGATTTTTTTGTCTTGATCTGTTAGATGCTTCTAAATATCACATTAGGTTTTAATGGATAGTTTTTATTTTTACTGATTTTTACCCTTAGTTTTCTTGTCTACATATATACACTGAATTGTATGTTTCTTTTTTAATGTAAAATTTTGATGATTTCTGTTTTTCAAAATTTAACTCAGGTGTAATATTTTTGCTGAAGCCTTTTCTCAGTATGGTCCCAATAATTCAACAGATGACTGCTCTGGCTCTTCGGAGACTTGCCAATTATAGTGACAATTTAGTATCCTTCCACAACTTGTTTATTCTAACAGAGCAGAATTTAAGAATTGTTTTTTATAAAGAAAAAAATGTGTATTGAGATTTTTAAAAAAATTGATATTTTTGGGCATAGTTGTAAGCTTATAAGCATTACAGTTACTAGGATATTAATACAACCTTAAATTCTCTGAACTGTGCTTAACTTTTTAAAGAGTATTTTGTTTTAGAGCTGATATGTAGCCTTTGTCTGTTGTCTGTAGAGATAATTGATTGAAACCTTTTTTTGGGAATTGTATACTAACCAGTAATTTTTTTTTTTTTTTTTTTTTTTTTTTTTTTTTGAGAGGAGGTCTTCCTATGTGATTCAGACTGGCTTTGGGCTCACTTTGCCGCCCAGGCTGGTCTCTGACTTGCAAAGATCTTCCTACCTCAGCCTCCTAAATGCTGGGATTACAAGAGTGCACCACCCACTCCTACTAACCAGTATTTTTGTATATGGGCATATTAAAGAAAGCTGTAAGATCTGTCTGTAGGGTCCCTGGGCAAACCAATAGTTGCTTTCAGTAATCTTATATGCAGGTGAACTTTAGTATAGTTATAAGAAAACAGCCTTGAAGCAAGGGGTAGATGGATAGAGTATACTTAGTGGGAGGTTTGATGAAACAGTTTTTATTAAGTAAATAAGCACGTGAAGTCTTTTAGGCATTGTCTAAATTATCCTAATACTCTTTCTATACAATACTATTCTACATTTCTATGCAGTGCCACTCTTTGGTTTAAGGATCCTGTAGGTAGGATCATGGACTATTGATTCTTCTCAACTAGTTTATCATAACTTCCTAATTACTTATGAGGCATGAAACTCACAAGCTCAGGACTTCCATGGGTAACTTTGTAAGACTCTGTCTCAAAAAATAATAAGGGCTGGGAATGTAACTCAGTAGTAAAGTGGTTGCCCAGCATGCATGGATCCCTTGTTTCAAATCTCAGTCCTGTAAAAAACAAATTACACAAAACAACTTCTACACAAATATTCAAAGCAGCATTATTTGCATCAGTTAAAAGGTGGAAACAACCCAAGTCCATCAGCAGATAAGTGAATGAAATGTATATTTGTACAACAAACTATTATACAGTTATAGAAAGAGTAATGTACTGATAAATGCTACAACATGGATGACTTTTAAAAAATAGTATGCCAAGTGAAAGACTTGAAAAAGGCTACATATTCTAAGATACTGTTTAGATGAAATATGTAGAATATGGAAATCTATAGAAACAGAAGTGGGTTGGTGATTGCCAGGGATTAGAGAAAGCAGAATAAGGAAGGACTATTTAATATACAAGAGATTTCTTGGAATATTATTTTCCAATATTCCAATATTTCTTGGAATATTGGAAAATATACTGGAACAAGATAGTAGTAATGGTTGTACAACATTATGAATGCATTAAATCCTATTGTATACTTTAAAACAGTAAATTGTTATATATATATTTTATCAGAATTAAATCTGGAATGTGTAAAATTTTATTTTTTTATGAATTAGAGAGTCATTAATGCTTCCACAGGGAATCCCAAAAATTTCATTCTTATTGTGGGTATTTTTTTTAATTTATAAAATACTGTTAGGATTCTTAGTGCTTTCCTTTGAGAGCAAGATCTATGTTTTGTGTCCCACATAGAAGTTTTCTAACTATGAACATGTGTCTATTAGTTGTAAACAAACAAGTGAGGAGGCAGGGAGAAGGCAAAGCGTGACCCTCAATCTTCTGTCTCCTTCACTAACCATTCCATCAGGTATTTTTCACAGGAGGTTTAATGTCTTCTTTATGAGGTACAAAATCTTGTGGTTTTGCTTGTTTTCTTTTTTAAAAGGCAGTTCTTTCGGTGATAAATAGGAGAGAGGAACGTTAGAAATTTGGGGGAGTAAAAACACCCAGAATTAGATTAGAAAGTGCAAATTATAGGCACTGTAATGACTATTAATATCTGTAAAGGGTAAATTTGACAATTCTGTAGAATAAAAGATCAAATTAGCTTCAGGTATTGACAATAAATGCATTATCCTTATTTTTATACCATTATAAGAAAATAATCTATGGAAAGCTACTTCAAAACTTTACCCTAATTTTTTTTTTACAATAAATTGGTGGAAATTGGGTTATTGCCATAATTTAAGAAACTGAAGAAAACGTATCACATGAAAACATTTTTGCTAATATAGCATTTCTTATACTAGTGTACCTCAATTTTTAAGATATGATGTGCTAAAAAAATACCTGTTTTGGGGGCTGGAGATTTAGCTCAGCGGCATAAGCGCCTGCCCTGCAAGCAGGCAGTCATGAGTTTGATCCCTGGATCCGATAAAAAGGAAAAAGACAAAACAAACAAACAGAAAAACCTGTTTTCTTTCACTCCTATAATTTTTATTATGTCACTTTTTTAGCTTAAGTAAGTAGAAGGCTTTCAAAGCAGGAAATTGGGTTACTGCCATAACTCAGCTGTAGTTGGGTTACAGCTGTAGTTACCTTGTCACTTTTTAGTAGTCACTGTAAAGAATTAGAAACTCAGAATGTAAAGTAGAAGATTAATTGGATTATATTAATAAACGAGTTATGAGATTAATACTGTCATTTTTACCATAAAACAAGTTTTATAACCAAGTTATTTGTATAATTTAATTTTTATAGCAGTAGGAAGAGAAATGTATTAGCCTTGTATGTCAGTTTAAGTTTCTCGGTTTTTAATGAGAAATTTATGAATAGGAAAGTTTATGTAGAAAATACAAATATGAAACAGCTTTTAAAATTTACAGAATGTTAATTTACTTTTTTAAAAAATTAATTATTTAAAAAATATTTTAAAATTATTTCTAGTGAATACAAACAACTTATATCCCATTGATTAGCTTATTTGCTTGCCAGGACAAGTTTAAAAATAACAAATGAATGTTTTGCTTTTATGTTTATGTGATGGTTGGTATGTGCATCTTGGAACATGGTGGTTATTTCGGAATAACTTGAGTCACCAGAAAGAGTAGTTGAGATCATAAAACCATGCTTAGGGACTGAGGACAATAAAGGAAATGGATTAGTCAGTTGACACAGTTTAGTTACACATGTTAACAATCCAACAGTTCCCACGGGTCAAAGAATATCTGTCAGTATAATGCAGACTAGGACAGTGTTATTAACTTACGAATTTGTGGAGAGTACAGTATTTATCTTTTACTATGAAGAATTTTTAAAAGTATGCTTCAGAGTACAACATTTGAACTATAATTTAAAATTGATCTGGTTTTCATTTTAATTACTGAACAGAAGCAATGGCTGATCATAAAATAATCCAAATGATTTTGCAGGATGGTTTATTTTTTGTACTCAAAAATAATTGAGATTTATTTACATTAATGTTATTTTAATTGAGATTTATTTATTTTTTATGCTTTAGATTTTGTGTATATGAATGCACAATTCATCTTGGATTTAGTCTCTCTCACCCTGTTAGCACTTCTACAAGAAAGCTTTGTGTTGAGAGCAGTTGGTAAATACTCTATAGCTCAGGCCATAGTTGATCATGGACCACTGGATGCACTGGTGATATGCTTGGAAGACTTTAATCCCTGGAGTCAAAGAGGCTGAAGCCTGGGCACTTGGATGTATTTCAAAACATGATGCAGGTAAGGGAGCATACTGGAAAATTTATTAGTGGTAAATCAATTTTTAAACTTGGTAAACTGCAGATCAGTTTTTAAAGATAGCAAAATATCTATATGTTTCAGTCTTTATCGCAGCAGAAGGGAAATTCAAAGAGAGGGAGAGAAAGGGTGCAGCAGGGCATGGGGCAGTGGGATTGAGTTTCAAAGACCTTGGTAAATTTGTTCAGTTACAAAGATTATTGTGGTCTGCGGCCCTCAAAGGGGTCATTGGCTCTGTGCTCTCATTCATGATAGAGCATTTCAAGACAGCAAAGAGCCACACCACAGACATGAGTGAAGACATAGACATAACTAAGAAAATGTGTTTTCCATTCCTACGGGGCTGGAAAGAGTCACTTTCTCTGAGAATTGGAATCTCAGTGAAATCACCAGGTGGGAACAGATCGTTTTGCAAAAAAGGCTGTGCTAACACACCCAAATAAGAAATATGCAGGGAATCATACCCCCCCCTACTTTATAGAAGTTGCTTATGAACAAGTAACAGAAGAGAATGGAGGTTTTTAGTTTTTTGTTTTTTAACTCATAAAAATAATCTGCCTTTATAGCAGTCAACAAATTGCATTTGTTGAAGCATTAATAAAATACCTTTTTCCATCTACTATTATGGGGTAGGGGAGTGAGGCAGCAATATAGCTAAGTGTGTAAGAGCACTGTGGCATTAGATGGCATCTGAATTTGAGTCCAAGTACTATCACTCAGCTGCTATGTGACCTTGGACAGGACTTTCAAATTTTTTGATCCTGAACCTTCTTCATCTGCAAAAGAGGATAACAGTAGTTACTCCTGAGATGTGTTATAGGGATAATGAAGTAATACGTATGTAAAGTGCTTAGTGCTTGACATATGGTAAGTACTTAGCAAATGGAAGACTAATATTGGATCTTAAAGAGAACATTATAATGTTTATGATATTTAGGCAGGCATAGTGGCAATGTACTTGTAAATTGAGCTGCATGGAATTCTGAAAGACATTAAGGCCAGAATGAACAAAACAGCAAGATCCTTAGCTGAGGGTGATGGTGCATGCCCGTAATTTCAGCACTCAGAAGGCTGAGGCAGGAGGATCACTGCAAGTTGAAGGCCAGCTGGGGCTCCACAGTCAAAGTTTAGGGCTAGACTGAATTAGAAAGTGAGATCCTGTCTCAAAAAAAACAGAACAACAACAACAACAAACCCTCAAAGAAGAAAACAAAAACTCCCTTAAAAACAAAAACAAAACAAACCAGCAAGACCCTTTTCAGTAAAAGAAAAGTTTGTGCCATTGGAGGAGGACCTACAAATTGCATAAACCCATGCAAGGCAGTTTGACAAAACTAAGTGATGAACGAATTTGTGCTTTACCTAAAAAATCTGTTTTGGAAATTCATCTTAAGGAAAGAGTCTCAATGAATGAAAAACTATATTTATGAAAATGCTATTGAACCTATGCAATAGGAAAATTTCTCAAATACTTGGCAGAAATTTAGTGGTTAAATTGTAGTACTCTACTTAATGGAATCTCATGTCACAAAGTAAAAGGGTAATTACAGTCCCCACATGATCATATGAAATTATAGAAAATTGATAAAACTACTTCACAATTATGATGTAAAATATGTTTTATTCGTGCATAAAATACAAAGAAATAGATGTTCGTATTACTGTGGTGATAGAATTAGTGTGTTTTCCTTCGCTTCTGTATTTATCTGGCTGTCTGTCTAGCTGTCTACTCTCTGTTATGCATTGAGCAATAAATATATACCTTTTCCTGTACCCTGTGCTTCTGATATATGATCTCATTTTGAGTACAGCTGCTTTTGGGTACATACGACTCTCCCTGTTAAATAAAGAAGAAAAGTGTGACTTAGAGAAAATGCCTGAATTTATATAATTTAGACAAGAATTTGGGTCTAAATTTATCTGACTCTAAAGCCCATGTTAACTAGTATCCCATATAGCTCCACGAAATAATTTCTGAAAAAGTGCTGAGGAAGAACAGAAACAGGTATATACTGTCCCACAGTTGTGTTTAATTTGGTTCTTAGAGTGGTGACCATACTGGAGACAAAATAGAAATAAAATTGTAGGAAACCAGATGGAGAAAGCCATTGTGCTTAGAATGGTTCAGATTATATACATTAAAATTCATTCTTTGGAATCTAGGATTTGGTTTTCAAAATGGGTTCATCTTGTTTGATACATGTTGACTAAAGAAACTAATACACTGTTTTAAATCACAAACTGGTTATCTCAGGAAAGTATATGAGATGATCCAGTAAGTTTTTTGCTATGTCAGAGGGACATGTCACAGATTGTGACATGAGTATTTCAAAATGGTGTGAAGGACCTTTGAGTGACAATAATACAGATAAACTGTCAGGCAGGTGGCCAGAGATAACCTTTTCATCCTGCCCTTTTGTTGAGTCTGGTTGAAATTATTAAGAGTTAATAAATAAGATCTGATTTAGGAATCCCATTCCAGTTTCTTTCTGTAATCTGGATCTCACACAGAATTCCCACTATAAATTATTTCAACAGTAGTTAGAGGCTTGAGACCCAGAGGCTCCCAGATGAGATTACTGCATAGATTTCTCAGAAGGAAGAGGAATTGTTATGTAGTAAGGCATAGAAGAAGCCATCATTCACATCCAAATCAGTGAAAATAGAGGATTTATCTCCAAATAATCTATTTAATTATTAATGGTTTCTAAAGATAAAGATTAATGGGGCCAATTTATTCAGTATTATTCTTAGTATTAGTGGTACAATGTTTGATTAGACAGCTTTAGAAATATAGTTTTAAACTGAGAAGCAGAAGAATAAACTATATTTAAAGGCAATAGAAAATGTTTTATGTATAAAAAGCAAAATAAGTGTACAATAGAAGAGGGCAGCAAATGGGCATTATCTGAGTTTTCTTATTTAAAAAATAAAATTTCTAAAAGTCTTTCTTTGTAAAGATTTCAAAACATTTTACTGATAACCAAAGGAAATTGGTTCCTGATTGCCAATGAAATGGTGCTTTGGTTTTTTGGTGTGCATCTCTGTATAAATGATGTCATTATACTGTGATAGTCAAATATTACCTATCATTTGATACTATTGTGAACTAAAATACTACTATATAATGATAACATTTATCTCATTTTGAAGATAAGCTATTTCTTAATCTTTTTCACTGCTCTTAGCGAAGGCTGATGTGAAATTTTCAGATTGGTTGTCTTTTTTTTTCTTCTTCTTTGCTACTCTTTCCCACTTTGCAGAACTGTTTGGTTGACGTGTCAGGTCTCTTACTGTTTCCAAGAATTGTCTTCTTTTGAGAGATGGAAGGTGTCCAAGGAACCTTTGCTGATGAAGGGCTAGGCAGCAGAAACAGGTTGTGTAGCACTGGGCTCCTCTACTGTTGTTCAGCAGCTGGGAGGTACCTCCTGAGGTTGCAGGCCTTGCCCTTCCCCACTACGCAGCCTTTCCTAGCCCTGTTTGTTGTTGGAAGCCACCCAGCTCTCTGTAGGAACACTTCCAGTGACCTTCAGTGTGGAGGTGGCCACAAAAAAGAATATGGCCTGAGTTGAGAGTGTTAGTCTAGCTGGAAGTATAAGAGAGGAGGAATCATGCAGTGTTTTGTGGAATGGCCTTTCACGTCTAGGCTGAAAAGTAAGTTTTAAGTGTTCATTTTGGGAGCATTACAAAAGGATGCATCTTGGTAGTAAACTTGTGGCTGTTTTCAGCTTGGCAGAGAGGAATACCTTCAATTATGTTATCTATACCTTTTTAATTATCAGTGTGCCATATTATAGATGCAAAAGCTGACATAAAAATGTTAGAGGCTTCATTCTAGTCCCACAACACTTTATGGTAAAACTGTTTGACAAATACTTAAACACTTGCCAGATATTTTCTTTTTATACTGTGAGAAAGGATAGTATATAAGACATCATTCTAAACTCTTTGTAATTTCTGAAAGTCTTGGCAGATACCACTATCTTTAATCCCAGATAACTGATTTCCACGTGTGACCCTTTTTTCTCTATAGCCTGATTTATGCCCAGCTCAGTAGTAGTTAGGAGATGACCTGGTTGTGGCCAAGAATGAGTATTCCCCACAGGGGTTAGCAAATGTGGACACTGTGGAAATCTTTAATTGTATTACATTAAGTAGACAGTGGAAGGGAGGAATCAAGACAGAGCTAGCCAAACTGATTGTTTTCTATCTTAGATGGAAAAGAAGAAGAGAACTTTAAAATTCAGAAGTTTTGAAAGTATTATTTTTATGCTACTTGTGCAAATATCAGTAACCTGAATAGTGTAGAATGGCTTAGTTAGGAAGCAATAATTTTTTTAAAAAGGTGATGTAAAAACATCTAAAGACTACTCTCCAAGCAACTTTCAAAGTTATTAATTTTTAAATTCCCAAATATTAGTGGTAAAAGTCTAGGTAAGAGTTTGGGACCTTGGATTTACAGTAAGAATTGATAGTGAAAAGGAAACTAGTATCTATTAATTAAAAATTCATGGTGATGCATGACTGTAGTCCCAACCATTTGGGAGGCTGAGGCAAAAGGGCTATTTGTTCAAGAACAGATTAGGTAACATATAGCAAGACTTTACCTCAGGAACAAAATAATTTTTAAAAAAATACTACAGACTACTATATTTACTGTACATATATAAATGTTGATTTCTGAACTTTTTATAATCACTTCTATCTTGGAGGGGTCATAAAATACAGAAATATAAAGGTAAAAGATGTGGTATTGTTCATAATGTGTGTCACATTTATTTGATATTAACATTTTTACAAATACTTTTGTATATATTTAGATGTTAGTGTAAAAAGAATAAAGTGAAAAGAAATGTTCTGTTGTTTGGGGATAGAGACCAAATGGGTTGAACAAAACATTTAAATTATAACTTTTTTTATTTGCTGGTTATCTAATTTATAATTTTCTACAATCAGTTTGCAAGTTAGTAATAAATGCTTCTGAATTTTATTTTTACACTTTAAAACTAATTTGAACTATGGAACAATAAAATATAATCATTTCCTACATACAAAGCTAGTCGTTAATAATCTTCACTAAGTATGTGAGGCACTTCTGTGTGTTTATGTTGTTAGTGTATAAAATAAAATAGCCCTTTTCTGGTTGTGGCACCACGTGGTGAAGACCGCTGGTCTATGCTAGTAAGCAGGCCGTCTAAGGGCCCACTGCAGTCCATGCAAGTCTTCGGTCTAAGAAGACAGCTACCGTCATGGCACACTGCAAACGGGGCAGTGGCCGCATCAGTGGGCATCCCCTGGAGATAATCGAGCTGCACATGCTACAGTACAAGTTACTGGAGCCTGTTCTGCTGCTAGGCAAGGAACAGAATGCTGGTGTTGACATCTATGTCCATGTGAAGGATGGCGGTCCTGTGGCCCAGATTTATGCTATCTAATAGTCCATCTCTAAAGCCCTGGTGGTCTGTGACCAGAAATATGTGGATGAGGCTTCCAAGAAAGAGATCAAAGATATTCTCATGCAGTATGATTGGACCCTGTTGGTAGCTGATCCCTGTTGCTGCAAATCCAAAATGTTCAGAGGCCCTGGTGCCCATGCTCTATTACCCAAAGTCCTACCGATAAACTTCAGCATAAGAAACACCATTGACCTTTATAGTAAATAGGGAATTTTAAGGTAAAATAAAATAAGTTGGCTAACATCTTTCCTCTAGGGCCTTAAGATAGAAAAATTGATGCAGATAAGTATAAAGGACATCAGGCAGCTTGACAAATGTTGGGCAGGAGATTTCAGTAGTATTATATTAAAGATTATTATTGTGGTTTAGATCTAGAGTCTCCCAAGGTTTTCATGTGCTCAAAGGCAGGGCTTTTGGAAGGTGATTGGATCACAACTAACATGCTCTTCAGAGGTGAGTCCTGGTCAGAAGGGGTTGTTCACTGGGGGAATGACCAGGAAGGTTGTATTTCCCTCTCTGACTTCTCTCTTTGCTCTCTGCTTCATGACCACCATGATGTAAACAGTTTTCATTTGCCTAACGCTTTCCTAGTGCCATTTCTGCCTTAGAGCCCACAGGCCAAGGACCAAGACTTCTAAAACTGTGAACCAAAATAAGCTTCTTGTGTAAGTTGTGTTGGGAATTGTGTTCAGGAATGGGAAACTGTCTAAGGCAGATTTTGGAACTGGGAATTGGACTGTTAACTGTGAATACCTGACCATATCCTTTGTGCAAATATCAGTAGCCTGAATAGTATAGAATGCTTAGGAAGCAGTAATTAACTTTTTATAAGGAACATGAGGTGACTCCAAGACTTTGGAAGTGGTTCATGGGATAAATTTGGAAAAGTTTGGAGATGATGACTGTTGAAACCCTGGAAAGCATGGGAGATTCTGGTCAAAGCTCAGAAGACCAAAATGCTGTTATAAATTCAAGAGTAATGACCAGGCACAGGAGGTTTCAATGGGAAACAAGGATAACACTGGCAGTTGGATGTGAGGCCACATGTATTATGTTCTGATAGAAAATATGTCAGTTCCTGAGACTGCAGGAGACCAAAAATGAAACTGGTGGACTAATTAATTTAGTAGAAGAAACTTAAGAGTAGCTCAACATTCAGGCCATGGCATGTGCCCTTCTGACTGTGTTTAGACAGGTTTACATTTGGAATCAAGAACAAAAAGCCCATTTAAAAAATTTATCATTTATTAGAAAGGAAACACCTGTAAAATTGGAGCAAATATTGCTAAAAAGATTAGCATTAAAAAGAAGTCAGGACAATAGAAAAGGTGTCTTGAGGACAATTTAGGAATCTGCAAGAGACCACCCTTCATTGGCCTAGTCTTGTTAAAGGGTAAACATAAATTCCTTTAAAAGACTTCGACTTATCTTCCTGAGTGGCTGGGATTACAGACTTGTGGCACTGCATCTTAGTCAGATTGAGCATTCCTGATGAAAATTTAGTAACTTTGAGACAACTTTCAAATGCAAAACACAAACTGGAGTCCAAGATTTAGAATAAAAATAATGCAAGATAGCTCAATTCATTTATCTAAAGCCATAGCCTGCATTTCCAGACCTTTCCAAATACTATTTCAGATATATGGTGTTAAGATTGCATAAAATCATTTAATTTTATCTTTTAAATGTTGTTGCTTTAAAATTTTACATTATGTGGATTACATTTCTCTTGGCTAGCACCAACTTTGAAGTACTATGTCTGTGCTTTGTGGGTATTTGGTGAGAAAGATGGAGTACATAGCTCAGTGGTAGAGGTTTTGTCTAGCATGCTTGATCCTGGGCCCTGGGTTTGATCCTCAGCATTACCTCCCTTGCCCCAATAGTAACACTGTGGTCACAAAATATGTAATATTTGTATTTATTAATCAGTATAACTACACTGTTCAATAAGTTAAGGAATATGCTGCTGAAAATACCATTTGGGGAAAAGTAATTCAGTTTCTAGCAATAACTTATTTGATATAAGATCTGCGATGTATGTGGCCAGTTGTTAGTCTTATTTCATATATTGTTGATAGGGATACATACTGATACAACCTCTTGGGGAAATAGTATTGCAATATATATTAGGATGGCTTATATAGAATTACCTATACTTGATTTATTTAGACCAAGAGAAACAGTAATTTCATGTTAACTAAAAATATCAAAAGCCCCAATGAATGTCAACAGCCTTCCCCTCAGTAATTACACTTCTGGAGTTAAAATGTAATCTTTCTCTCCCTTAGATGAAATCTGTGAGTATATCCATGTATGTGTAAACTGCCTGAAGTAACCAGCCTCCAAGATTTTGGATCTTGTAGTCTAGTATTCATATCCTTGTGTGGTCTCTCTCCCACATCGTGCTAGGGTTGGTTTGTGTAACCAGCAGAAGTCAGATTTGTCATTATTTAGAGTAGTTTGTAAAAGAGCTTCTGTCTTGGAAGCATAGGGAGAACATGCACAAGTGCTCTCTCTTTCCCTCCTTTTCAGGTCACTTGCTGTAGGGGACACCAACTGCCATGTCTTGAGGGTACTTTGGCAGCCTTGAGGTTCCAAAAGCCAGTTAGAAATTGAGGCTTTCTGGCAACCACAGGGAAGAGTTTGAAAGCAAATCCTCCTGAGTCAGGCCCGTCAGCTGAGAGCCTGATGGGATCTTCATGAGAGACTCTGAGACCAAACTACCCAGCTAAGCTGTGGTTGGATTCCTGATCTACTGAAAGTGAGATAATAATGATGTTTTCAGCTGCTGAGTTTTGGGTCATTAGACACATAACAATAGCTAAATATATAATCTGAATGCAAAAGAGGTTCATTATTCATTAAAATAGCAGACAACCAAATCAAAAGCCAATTAAATGTCCTAATGTGGGAGACTGATGGAGTAAAGTAGCATATTTACTAGTGGGATATTAGACAACATTCTCTTGTAGAGAATTTCATTTGAGTCCTGTAACCTTGTGCTGTCTGGCTTTCTCCATCTGTTTCAGTTGGTTGAAGACAGACACTAGCCCTGGGTTGAAGCCAAGAATTAATACCAGTAGAGTTTGAATAGTAAAATATGTATTTCTCCTGTTTTTAAAAAACAGAATGTAAACTGGGCATGGTGGTACACACCTGTAATCCCAGCACTTGGGAGGCTGAAGCAGGAGGATCACTTTGAGTTCAAGGTCAGCCCAAATTACATAGTGAGACCCTGTCTTAAAAAGACAGACAGCAAACCAATATAAAATTATAGGTAGAGTGAAACTAAAACTGTAGTTACAATGCTATGTAAAGCATATAAAAACAAAGTTTTAAAAACCTAGATACAAAAAACATATTTTATAAAGCTCTAATTCTAGTTAATGTATTTTCTTTATTTTTAAAGGTACTCAAGACCCTCTATAATTTTGCTTTATTCATCTGAGTATCAGTAAATGCTAAATTAGTACATTTAGGGCTGGGAACTAAAAATATAGTAAATTTTCTCCTATTGTCTTTCAAGACTGATCATAAGTCTTCTTTTTACTTTCTCGTTTTCTGATCTCCACTTCTTGACTTTTCCTTATCATGCTTTGAAGCTGCCTCTTTAAAAAAATTGATTTCTGTAAATGCACTGTCCACCCCAGCTGATTGTAATTTCTAACTGAAATCCCACTAACTTCACGTCCACCATCTTTTTGACTCACTTAGCTTTTTAAAGGAGCCAAAATTGTTTAATCTTCAAAGCAAATGTAAGTATGTTAACTCTTAAGTTTTCAAACACTCAACTTACATGTTAGGGCTAAACCAGTGGTGTTAAAGACTGCGAGAAGAAAAGCGAGGTGAAAATGATGTGTTTGAAAAGATGACATTTGTGAGTATGAGAAATATAACATGAAATTTTTTTGTAATATACAAATTCTCTCTGCATGCTTTCCTTACTGCTACCTGCAAATTGGAAATGTCAGTTACTTAGCTCAAGTTACAGCTAAAATGAGTCATTGTTACATATGGATGTTGTCTCCTAGATGTTGGTAAGGAGCAACATTTCTTTGGTAGTCTCCCTGGTGGCCTTCAGGGATGCTGTCATGGATCATTCCCATTGTTGGGTATTATCTTCTCCCACTGTGCCAGTGAGTTATAGCAGAAGTGATGGCATGCCACTTCTGGGGTTAGACTACACCATTCTTGACTGTTGTCTTGGGTCCTCTCTTCTAGATCAGTCACTCTGCAGGAAGCCTCATCATGAATGGCTCATGGAGAAGCCCACATGATGAGGGATTGCAGATTCCCCCTCATGCTGCCATGAATGTGATTGGATCTTCAGACAGCACCAGCGTCAGCTGACACCTTGATTGTAGCTGAGAAGTCCTGAGCCTGAACTACCCAGCTAGATTCCTGGCTACTATCAGATTCCTCATCTATAGAAACTATGGAACCATAAGCAATTGTTGTTTTAAACTTGTAAGTTGGGTATGGTTTATTACACAGCAGCAGATACCTAGTATAGTTATAAGCAACTGAGTTAGGCTAAAACCTAAACAAAATTTCTTTTGCTTTGCATGTGCTGTTACTGCAATCATACTGAAGTATGGTGAATAAATAACCAATTTTTTCAGTTATAGCATCATACTTTATTTTTGTTATAATTTTAACTAATCATGAAAATTTTGGTTTAATGGGGTTACTGATTATTATTACTATAAGATTAATATCATAAGTTGTAACTAATTTTCAAATGTATTGTTTAACTCTATTTAAAAAGAGTATGAGGTGATGTAGTTATGTTTTTATGGCCAGATATAGAAACACCATCTTTAGCTGGCCCAGTAGCCAGTGCCTCTAATTCTAGCACTCTATAAGGCTGAGGCAAAAGGATTGGTAGTTGGAGCCCTGCCTGGGTGACTTAGTGAGATCTTGTCTCAAAGTAAAAAAGGGCTGGGGATGTAAGTCAGTGAGAAAACCCTGGGTTCAGTCCTCAGTATGAAGTGGGGGAATATAGCACTGAAGGTAATGTGGTTGTTCAATGGTAGAATGCTTCACCAGAGAATGATGCCCAGAATTTATCTTCAGGCGACAACAACTCACTTTTATACTGATAAATAAGGCCACCTATGTGCAAAAAAAATTAACTTGTGACTTTCTTGTATTTTTGAAACAGATTAAAATATACTTTTATAGGGCTGGCCTGGTGTGGTGGTGCATACTTGTAATACCAGCATTTGGGAGGCTGAGGCAGGATGATGTCCTTGAGTTTGAGGCCAGCCTGGACTAGTAAGTTCAAAACCAACCAGGACTACATAATGATACCCTGTCTCAAAAATAAAAATTAGTTGAATGTCATAATACAGGTTTAAATTAAACTTTGCTTTTTGCAGGCTAATTTTAGGGTTTTATCAATTCTTGGAACTCTATGAATTTTCTTATATAAGCCCTGCATTGTTTCTTCATTTATAACTCCAAAACATGACTTCAAGAATTAATAGTAGAAGGAACATCACCTTTCCACATCCATCTAACCATATTTCTACAGATTTTAGAAAAGTGTGAAATTTAAACTTGAAGTTTTGAAAGGTAATTGAAGCAAAATAGCTTGCCTGCACTTTATTGTTTTATTTGGCTTGTACTGTGTTGTCTCACATAGCGTTCTTGAAAAAATAAAGTTGCCAACAGGTAAAAGCCAGGCAGTTTCACATTAAGGAGGTCTGACTGCAGGCAGCCTACGTTGCTTCATGGCCATGCTGGGTGGAAGCCGAGGAACAGCTGTCCCTTGCAGGTAGATGGTGTCTTGATTTTTCCACTGTACTGCTGCTCTCTGACTCCCTGTTTTCCCTGCCTCCTCTGACATCGCTTAATTTAGTTACTTGCCTGGAGGCATTTGAGTTTACCACTTCTCATCTAAACAGACAGCTAATCATTTCATAATTAAGAAGAGCCCTGGCTTCAATTCCCAGTACTGGAAAAAGACAGGGATGGGGATGTAGCTCACTATAGGTGTGCTTGCCTAGCTTTGCAAGGCTTTGGCTTCTGTTTCTAGCATGGGGTGGGGGTAAAAGGATAGAGGGAAGGAAAGAAGAAAGAGAAGGGAGGAAGGGAAGGAGGGAGAAAAGGAAAGAGGAGACTACTGTGAGGGCTATTAAGATCCCTTTCGCTTGACCTACCTACTTTCACCTAGTCTATGCTGACTGGTATTCCTCCCTGCTCTCCTTTTAGTTGAGTCAGTTCTTTTTCTTTTTTTCACAGTTAGTTCTAATATTATCCTTATATAGTACCAGTTTTATAGATGCTTTTAATCTTAAAAGTTTTCCTTTTTATTTATACTCAAAGTTGTAGTGAGGCTTTTGATTATTAAAGTGAAGGTTTTGATTCACTTAAGTTGCAACATTTCACATCTGTCAGTGAGAAATCAGTGTAAATTTAGCCAAACACATACTTGGGCCCCAAGAACAACATAGAATGAAATTTTAAAAAGTGCAACTAGGTGGAAGGATGGAATGTAAGAAAATCTAACAGTTTTCATCCCAGTGTTTCACATGTTACTATTATTTTTAAAATTTGCATGCACATAGTCTTTTAGTGGTCAGAATTATTGGAAAACTGAGAGGCAGAGAAGTATGACAAGATATTTCCTACCTTTTCACAGTTCACAGAGGAGGCTGCCCCAGTTCCTTTGCTCACATGAAACCGAACAGAAATGGCTATTCTTTTACTGAAAACAGCTGGCCATCCAATTTGGGGACTGCACATTCAGTTGTATCCATGTGTACTTTGATATTTGTGAATAAAGGAAACACCATTGGTTAATTTTATTTTATCTGACAACTTACCATCTAAAGCTGATTAAAAATAAACCCTAGGGGGGCTGGGGATTTAGCTCAGTGGTAGAATGCTTGTCTAGCAGGCTGAAAGCCCTGGGTTTCGTCCTTAGCACCAAAAAATAAAAAATATTCAAAAAATTAAAAATAATAACCCATAGGGCCAGAGATATAGCTTCGCAGCATAATACCTGCCTAGCAAGCATGAGGTCCTGAGTTTAATCTTTGGTATCAAGCAAGCAAACAAACAAAAATACCCTAACATTTAACAATGTAACATTTATTTTAAATGTAATAAGGGCATAAATATGGCAGTAGCTAAAGTATGAAAAAGTAAATATATCTGGTACATAGCAGTAATTCTTCAAAGAATAATTATATACTCTTTTCTAGTATTTTATGTGAAGGAAACACCATTTTTAAAATAAGAAACTTTCTGATTCACTAAAGAAGCTAGAAATCTAATGTATTTTTTATAATAATGTTATTATAGTTGGTCTCAAGAGTAGCTGTAAGTATGAACAGAACACATTTGTATTTTTCTGAAATAACCACATTGAAGAAAATCTGGCACAAAGAGAAGAAAACTGTATTATCAATATTAGAACCGGCCTCGTATAAATATTGTATGTTAGGCTTAATATGCAGTCTTTTTTCTTTGCATTTTTAAACAGTTATAGCCACTTTTTAATTTTGTTTATTGCTTACAGTGTAAGATGATGTCGCATATTGCCTAATATAAAATATATTTTAAAAATTCCGAGTATTATTTAAAATTTAAATGAGGGTAAGATATTTTCAAATGTGAAGATAAATTTTTTGACTTACTGCTTTTTATTGATCAATCTTTTATAAGCATTTATGTCTTTATATATCAATCCTTAATATTAATCAAACACCCAGAAACTTCCAAAACTAATGTTTCAGATGAGCTCTATAAGAGATTTTCCATGGGAAGTCATTTTTGGTTGTAGAGAATTTTGTGTTTTGGTTCCTGTTGCTTTTGGAAAGGTAGAAAAGTATAGAAAAAGAAACAGGGGAGCATGGTGGGAAGCATTTCCTGAAGTAAGGCCTCTGGATACCTTTTCTCCCCTGAATGTGCCACAGACTTGACTCGTAGTTCTGCACTCTTGACTGTTTTCTCTCCTGTACTTGTAGTATGGTCTGTTAATATGTTCACCCTGCGTGAGATCTGGAACAGAACAATCTTTTACTGTATTCTGCTTTCCCAAGGTCTAGCCTGGTTTTCCAACACATAGTGAGCCCTTCATGAACACTCAGTGAGTGAAGGAAGAGAGGAGAATGTGTACAAACACCATGCATGAGAGAGCAAAGAATTTCAACTGTAAGACTACTAATTACAAGTGGTTTAAACAACAAGGGCATTTTTTATTTCAAATGATGCACAGCTCAGAATAGGGGAAGTTTCAAGATTAGCGATAGAAGGCCCAGATGTTTCTGATTTTTGTACTCTGATTTTTGAACTTGTAATTTCTTCTGTTGTAACTGGAAGATGAAGGTAGAAGTTCCAGGTGTCATTTGCAGTCAAGTCCATGTCCAACACAGAAAAGGTGGCATTTTCCCCTGGGAATCTCAAGTTTATTAGAGAAAAACCTTTCACAGATGCTTCCCATTGACTTCCATTTTTAAGTCCCATTGTCCTGATAAGGATGGACTCCCAAGCCCGTGCCCTAGTTGACAAAGGCTACCAGGCAGACACAAGAGCAACTGATACAGAAACACCAGAGAAAGCAATAAAAGAGAAAAGGAGAAGAATGTGTCAGTGAAAAATGAATAGTGATAGAGATAGGATGAAATAGCCTATAGTGTAGTAACAAATAGTATGGTATGCATTATTTAAGCCTATTGCATTGTTATATAATGGTACCTTGGTACTCATGGTTGATTGGGTCTAGGAGGCATTATTTAGTGCCACAACAGGGTTTTGGCCAGAAAGGATAGTCAGGAAGCAGTCAACATTGAAAGTTAACAGCTTGCACATTGAGTACCAAATGGCAACTACTGAGACAAAATTTTCACATCAAAATGCACCACAAACTAAATTGACAAGTTTCAGAGCAGTCCAGTGTCAACATGTGACTGTATGAACTTATACTTAGTATATATATGGAGATAGTAGCGTAATATTTCCAAGGAACAATGTGTGTCACTCAAGAGCAGACTCTGTCTTTGTAAGATCATATATGTTTGGAGAGCTAGAAAATGCAAGTAAAAATTCCAGTTTAGGTCTTTAGAAATTTTATTACTTTCATGGCAAATCTCCCTCTAGGACTATCCCCAGTCTTCTTACATTTAACATCATTTTCTCCAGAGAATAGAAAATGGCTTAGGATAGGATTGGGTAACAAAGTAGGGGAATGATTTGCTTTATTGTTAACATTGTAGTGTTCAGTGGAAGAAGGATTTAGAGCACTTTAGTAGTTATTTGCAGGACAGCTAAAATGTATGGTAATTAAGACAAAGTGTAATATCTCACGCTGTTATCCTAGCACTCTGGGAGATTGAGACAGGAGGGTTATCAAGTTTGAGCTCAACCAGGGAAACTTACAAGGACTGAGGATTTAGCTCATTGCAAAGGCCCTAGGTCCGATACCCATGACCACAGGCGTGTGTGTGTGTGTGTGTGTGCGCGTGCGCACATACACACACACACACACACACACACACACACACAATATGGGGTTTGTGAAGATTACAGGTTTTTTTTTTTAAGAAAAACTGAGTTTTTGTTAATAGTACTTTTAATTAATTTTAATTTGTAGTTTACATTCTTTACTCACAGCAGCTATGCATACAAGCCAGGCATGGTGGCACATGCCTGTAATTTCAGCACTTGGCAGGCTGAGGCTGGAGGATTATTGCAAGTTTGAGACCAACTTGGGATACAAAGTGTGTGCTTGGCCAGCCTGGACTGCATGATGAGACCCTGTCTCAAAAAGATAAAAAAAAAAAAAAAAGAAAGAAACTATGCATACAGTAAAACAGTTCAATAGCTGAATTAATCCTTATGCTCTCAAAACAAAATATTCAGCCTATAATTCAGTAAGTACATATAAAGTTGATATTATCATATAATACCTGTATCATTTGTATTAAACTGAATTCTTAAGGAACATGTTAATATTAATAGAAAATGAGGATTGTACCTATCTTTCTATTTTCTTCCCAAGTTGAGGAGGAAAGTGTCTTGCCTGCTGTCGTGTTGGTCTTCAGGCCAACGCAGCATCAAACCAGAGATTGTTTCTGATGAATCTGTTACATTTCCAGGTTGATACTCTAATCCTTTTGCTATCATCCTCTTAAAAGCTCCACATTTTTCTCTTATCTACCTCTGGCTCTTGAGGTCACATTTGGACTTTTCATTCTATAAAATATTTCACACTAGCTGTAAAAATAAATTGCTAATGAATGTAGTTTTGATTTTCCAAGTGTGTCATT